GTGAAGTAAAGGTGTGAAAAAGCAGTAAGATGATACTCTAGACCTTAAATAGGCTACAAAAGTTCTGACAGTTTTCCTAATTATTCCCAGTAATGGACATAGGAGGCCAAAAGGCAGGAGGGAGAAATACATTTTTCTCCATTATGGGTGTTGAGCACTGGGGCTAAAATCATGCCTGCCTGAACACTGATCAGTTTCTGCAAAGGTTAATAGCAATTAAATGCAGCAAACTAGATTAAATAAGAAACAGGTCATGATACCACTGTACTTGCAAAGAGCACGGTAAAGCATTTCTTTTAAATTCATCTTATGCACAGGAAATCCAAAAAGAGCTGCTGTAAGGAAACAAACCTATGCATTAAATGGTGAAGGAATCTCTTAAATAAAATTTATAAAATAATGGCATGCTATACAAACTTACTCAATTATCATCAGTACTGTGTTGGTGCCAGAGAATAAGAAATCCTACAAAAATACTAAAGACATCTCAAATAGTATTTCTCCAAAAAAGAAAACCACCAGGATACATATACTTCTCTCTTTTTCTGACTCAAGAGTCCACACTGAAATCTAAAATGGGATGTAAATGCTATAATGAAAAGATCTATACTGAAGCATAATATTGCCATTAACACTTTGCTGCTCCTAGCCTAGTACATCTATAATCAAAAAAGTATAGTAAATTACTTAGTGATTAAGATTAAACTATCTGATAACTATAATATTCTAAGATTATTCTCTGAACTTAATCTTTTACTTTAGAATATAAATCCTAAAGAGTAATCTGAAGCATACTGGTAGATTTTTCAAATTTAAATACAAGAAGGTTTTTTAAAAAATCAAATAGGCAATTGTGTGCAGGCACAAGCACACACTCTCCTTCCACACACACGCATGCATGCACAAAGATACACACATCCACACATACCCTTACCTCTCTACATAAGCCAGAAAATAAAAGAGGGACAGGCTCATACAATGAAAATTCAATTTACTTTGCTATCCTCGGGGTCCTCTAAGCCATCAGGCCGACTAAGGTTTCGGGCAGGCTGGCTGCAGACAACATTGTCTTCCAGTCCCCAAGAGGGGACTCTCACAGGTGGCCTTTGTATTTCATCTAGGTAAAAAGCACCATCTGCTCCATCTGTAATAAAATTTTTGGAAGGGCAGAGTGAAACTAATTACTAAAATTAATGTCTCTACGTATAGATATGATGAACAGGATATAAAGAACCACTTTGGTACATAAAAAAAAATAGATGTTTTTATTTTTAACCCAGGTGGTTTTTTAAATTGTGAACTATATGTAATTAGCAAATAAACTACTCATCTCATGGTGCATCACTTCTAAATGAGGTCAGTTACAGTGTTAAATACTAAAACTGCTAATTATACAAATAAAATGTTTGTCTTAGAATTGACTGTACCAGCAATTTGCTAATCCATGACAATATAAACCATAAAAAAATCTCCAGATGCAGCTAACCCCAAACCAAAAATACTGTAATAACCTCTTGTTTCCTGAGATGCATAAGGATTACCATATTGCAGAACTGGTTGTGCATTTGACAGTGTGAGAATATAATCATTTTGCTCTGAACATGTGTTGAAACATTGAGGACTCTGGGAATTCTGACCTTCCATTTTCCTTTCTGCTTGATTTTCTAGACTCCTTGTAAGTTCCTGAAATTAACAAAAACAAAGGTGAATAAGCAAAGCAATAAAATACTTCATAATTACAGCAGTATTAAACATCTAGTCAAAATATAGCAACAAAATTATTTCCCATTATGAAGTTGGAATGCAATTGGAAATACAGTTAGAAAAGCTGACTCAACTTCTCATAAATGTATCCTCCACATATAACAAAATCGGAAAGCAGGATAAAGTCAATATATTTTCAAATTTATTTGTGCGAAGAAAGTACACCATTCTCACTGAGTTAATTCAGGGCAAACTGTGAATCTCTTATAACTTAGCTATGAATTAAAAATCTTCAAAAAAAAAAGAAAAATGGAATTCTATCATTTAAGATTTTTTAAAAAGATGTGTCCTGTATAAACTCTTTCAAAAAACAAAGAAACATTCCCTAACTTGTTTTATAAGGCCAGTACTATTCTGATATCTAAAACGAGGATTTCACAAAAAAACTAGAGACCTTATCACTCATATATATTAATGCAAAAGCCTTAACTTATTATAGCAAGTCAAACGCAGTAATATTAAAAAAAAAAACATGGTCTAAAGGGCTTTTTCACCAAAAAAAAAAAAAAAAAAAAGTCACTTTAACATCCAAAAACCAAGTGCAGGTCAACATCCAAAAATCGATAAATGTAATTTACCTTTTAAAGGGAAAAAATATGATCATTTCAATTGATGTAGAAGAAATATTTTACATAATTCAAGTCATTCATGTTTTTTTTTTTTTAAATCTCAGAAACTAAAGAATAAAAAGGACCTTTCTTAACCTCATAAAAGGCAGTTAAAAAACCTACCATTGAACCTTAATGGTGAAAAACTAAATGATTCTACTGAAGATCATAACAAGATCAATAATAATAAGGTGATGATGTTTGCTCTCAACACTTCCATTCAAAATAGCCAGTGGATCAAGGCAAAAGTAAGGTAGATTGGAAAGGAAGATGTAAAACTATCTTTATTCACAATGGTATGAGGATGTACATTAAAAAATCCCCAAAAATCTATAAAAACTAGGAAAATGAGTGTAAATTATTTAGCCAGGTTGCAGTATACAAGGTCAATATGTAAAATCTATTGTATTTCTACATACAGCAATAAATAACCGTAAAATTACAGTAAAATCAATAGATAAAATATTTAGGAATAAATACACAAAAGATGTGCAAAACCTATACACTAAACAAAGTAATGCATTAAAAAGAGCATAAACAAACGGAGACATACAATGTGTTCATGGACTAGACCCCCTCCCCCCTACAATTAACTACAAATACAATGCAATGCCTATCAAAATCCCAGTAGGTTTTTGTACAAATTGACAAAGTAATTCTAAAATGTACATAGAAAAAATACAAAGGTCCTGTAATAGTTCATATGTAAAAAGCAGAAAGAACAGGCTGGGCATGGTGGCTCGTACCTGTAACTCTAGCACCTTGGGAGGCCAAGGCAGGAGGACTGCCTGTTTGAGACAAGCTTGGGCAACATAGTAAGACCCTATCTCAATTTTAAAATTTTAAAACGGCCAGGAGCAGTGGCTCATGCCTGTAATCCCAGCACTTTGGAGGCTGTGGGTGGATCACTTGAGCCCAGCCTGGGCAACATGGCAAAACCCTTTCTCTGCAAGAAATACAAAAATTAGCTGGGTGTGGTAGCATGTGCCTGTAGTCCCTGCTACTCAAAAAGGCTGAGGTGGATCACCTGAGTCTGGGACATCAAGGCTGTAGTAAGCCATGATAGCACTACTGCACTCAAGCCTGGGTGACAGGGTAAGACCCTGTCTCAAAAAAAAAAAAAAAAAGAAAGAAAGAAAAGAAAACAAGAAAAAAATTAGCTGGATACAGTGGCATATCCTATAGTCCAGCTATTTCGGAGGCTGAGGCAGAAGGATCACTTGAGCCCAGCTATTTTGGAGGCTGAGGGAGGAGGATCACTTGAGCACCAGGAATTCAAGATTACAGTGAGCTACAATGAAGCCATTCACACTCCAACCTAGAAGATAGGGGAAGACTCTTTCTTTAGGAAAAAAGAAAAAAAGCAGAACAAAGTTGGAAGACTTATGCAACCTGATTTCAAGATGTATTATAAAGCTACAGTAAACAAGACAGTATAGTATTGGCATAAGAATACAAATAAGGAGCTGGCAATCGTTTTCCACAAAGGACCAGACAGTAGATATTTTCACCTTTGCAGGCCAAACAGTCTCTGTTGCACCTACTGAAATCTGTCTCTGCAGTTGCAGTCATAGATGATACCTACATAAATGGGCATGGTCATGTGCTAATATAGTTTTATTTATATAAGCCAGATTTAGCACACAGGCCTTAGTCTGCTGACCCCTGATAAAAGTCAATAAAATAGAAGATAGAGTCTAAAAGTAGACCCATACTTATAGAGTATTTTCAACACTGAAAATACCTCAAGATGTGGAGGAAATTCTATGGAGAAAAAGGATGGTCTTTTCAATATGATGTTTAAAAGCTGGGTATTTATTTACAAAATAAACTGACTAAGTATCATACCATATAAAACATAAATAGATCATAAATCTAAAGTAACAGAGCTAAAACTACAAACCTTTTAGAAGAAAATAATAGGAGAAAATCTTCATAACCTTGATTTAGGCAAAAATTTAAGACAGGACAAACAACATGAATCATTAAGACAAATACAGATAAACTGGACAACCTCAAAATTCAAGTATTTTGCTCTTCAAAAGATAATGCTGTAAGATAAGAAAAAACATACCACAAACTGGAAGAAAACACCACCAAAATATCCGACAAAGGAATTATATCTGGGATATAAAGAGAACTATCACAAACAGAGATGACAGCTCAATAGAAAAAAAAAATAGATTTTAACAGAAACTTCACAAAGGAGGATGTACAAATGGCCTGTAAGCACACGAAAAGATGCTCAGCATCACTAGTTATCAGGGAAATTAAAATTAAATCCACAATAAGATAACACTAAACACACCCACTAGGATGACTAAAATTAAAGACTGACAATAATACCAAGTGCTGGTGAGGATATGGAGCAGCTGCAATGTTCATACACTGCCAGTGGGAATACAAAATGGTACAGCCAGGAAAACAATTTGGCTGTTTCATTAAAAACATACACTTACCACATAAGCCCGCAATTCCACTCCTAGGTATCTACCCAAGAAAAATGAAAACATATGTCCACAAAAATACTTGGGTAAGAATGTTCATAGCAGCATTATTTGCAATAGCAAAATATCACAAATAATTTAAATGTCCATTAGCTGGCAAGAGGATTAATGTCTATCAACTAGTGAATGGATAATTTCTGCATCATTGCAATTACATGAAATGCTAGAAGCCATAAAACAACAGGGACAGAAAGCAGACCAGAGGTTTTCTAGGACAGGGGGGGAGGGTGGGTGGTGGTAGCAGAAGGGGACAACTGCAAAAGAGCGAGAGGGAACTTTGTGCAGTAATGCAATAATGGAAACATTACACTGTTTAAGTAAAATGGTAGTTACAGAACTACGTGCATTTGCCAAAAGTCATCAAACCGCATTTAAATGAATAGATTCTACTACATGTAAACTGCACCTTAACAGAACTGTTTAAAAAAAAAAAAAATCAACCAGAGGCCTTATTAACAAAGGATATAAGAATAAAAAATTTTAGTCTGGAAAGGTTAGCTGGTTTTGCTGCTTGTCATTTCTTGGGGGTAGAGATGAGACTCTGTCTGTCTAAGTTAACACATTTTTACCTATCTTAATGATCCAAAAACTGGACTAAGTAACCTTAAAATGAAAGTCACCATCAAGAGCAAAACTGGTAAACATTAAGAAAAATGCAAGTCAACTGAGATTTGGTAAGAGATGTAGGAGGGAGGGGAAGGGTGCGGAGGGATAACATGGGGAGAGATGCCGGATACAGTATGCACCTAAAGTAAAATAAATAAATTAAAAAAAAGAGAGAGAGATGTAGCAATTAAAAGTTCTTTCTAAGCAAGTCCATTCATAGCATACATGTCCATGTATCAACTCTGCCAGGTACTGTGTAAAAACTGTGAGGTTAAAATGGCATTCCTGCCTTTCAATGACTCATTATTTTATTGCAAAAATAAGACTTGTGAAATTTTAAGCAAAAAAAGAAAATAATCAATCAAGATACTTATCACAGCATCTGTTAACACAGCAGGTACTATACTAGGAACTAGAGATACAAAGATTAACTTGAAATGGATTTTGCCTTCAAGAAATTCAGTCTAATAGAAGGTACAACTCTAGATAAATAACAATTAATTGTAATAAGCTGACTTGTATAGAGATGAAGGTAAAATGCAATGTAACAAAATGTAAACACTATATACTAGAAAGAGACTATAGAGAAGAGCCATTTGAGGTGGATCCTAAGGAATTTTCACCAAGCAGATAAATAGCAATCTAGACATAAAGTACATGAAAAGATACAGAAGACATGAGAAATAGTAACATATTTCAGGCTTGGTAAATGAATAATATGGCTAGAGCAAAGAATGCGTATTAAGAATATCAGGAGCCAGGAACAGTGGCTCACCCCTATAATCCCTCCTTTGAGAGGGAAGATCACCTGAGCCCAGGAGTTGGAGAACAACATAGCAAAGCAAGACCCTGTCTCAGGCAGGAGATATAGCTGAAAAGACAAGTTGGAGGTCATATATGTCAAATCTATCATGCAATTTACTACAATGAGACTTCTTCTGGTTTTTCTATCCATTCACTAGTTGATAGACATTTTGAACAACAGCATGGTAAAAATGGTCCCTAGTAAGGTTAATTTAGAAAAAGAATAATGGGCATACTCAAAACAAGAAGCAAATTAGGAAAGCAGTGCAGGAAATACAGTGCAGCAAATACAGGAAAGCAGTGCAGCATGGTAGATTAGAATCAGGCTGACCTAGATTTGATCATCAGAACAGCACTAATAGCCCTAAGGAATTTCTCTTTTCTAGGCCTTACAGGGCTACTGAGAAATGGGAGATATATTTAGAACAAGGCAGGCACTCAAAAGATGTCCTTCGTCTCTTGCCATGGCTGAAAACCCCAGAGATGCTGCTACAGTAATTCAAGACTGGCATGTGACTACAGAAAAATGGAAAGGTTAAATCCAAGAAATATTTCAAACACGATTCAAAAGAAAGAAAAAATGGGCACAAAATAAGTTAGAGATGATAAAATACTTCTTCAGAAATTTAAGCAAATTAAAGAAGTATAGTTAAATTCTTCTGTAAGCAAATAACATACTATTGAAATAGAGTCAACAATTTCATCAAAAGATCTATGCATGCATTGGTACAGTCAAGCAACTTTATAGAGAGTTCCAGCCTAATAGGGAGTTTAATACTCCTACTCTACCATCAAAGATACAATAAATTCTTTGCAAATAGGATTCAGGGTAAGAACAGGACTGGTGACAAGCAGCTTTGACTCCTCATGGCGGAAACACAATGTACGAACATGGACAAAAAAGTTAAGGTTAGGCTCTTTTGCAAATCAGAAGACTGAACTCTCCCCTCCAAAACCTAACATGTGGACTTGGAGAAGGTTCTTAAACTGGCATTCATAAAGCCCCTCAAAGGGTCCATGTTTAGATTTTAGGAGGTCCATGAACTTAAATGGGAAAAAAAATTGCATCTATTCACTAACTTCTAACTAAAGTTTAGGATTTTCTTCCATTGGAAACATAGGGCAAAAAAAAACACAGTAATGGTTGTAGTACCTATAACTTGGCCACCTACAGAAATCACATCGATCTGTTTCAATTACATTTGTTGTAGCCATCTCAAAATAGCCTTTATGATCATTATTAGACACACTGCTAAATCTTACATTTGTTTCAGATTACATTTGTTGTAACCATCTCAAAATAGCCTTTGAAGTGATACTGATCACTTCAACATTAGTCATTATTAGACATGCTACTAAATCTGATTTAACATTTAAATGAATAAGCATATACTCTACTATCACATATATTACAAATTTGTCTTAATATTTTGATAACTATAATAATGTGTTTCCTTTGTGATTCTACACATTTTGCTTTATTCATTTTAAATCATTTTCTGAAAATAGACTTCACCAGAATATCAAAGGGTTCTAGACAAAAAATGATCAAGAATCTCTGGGAGATCTTTCCTACTTTTACAAAGTCATGGATAACATGAGTGCAGCTATCTTATCTGAGCAAAACAGTATTAACTGCTGACTCATAATTTTCCTAAAGTAGAAAGCCATCACAATTTAAGAAAGAGATTTTGTCAGAAGTAGTCATCTTTTACTGTTCCATCTCCCAGGAACAAGTCTGTTTATCTGATTGCCTTTGCCAGGGTGCCTAAATATTTTTTTTCTTCAGTACCCAAAATGGCTCACAATGACCCTGGTTTTGCAAATTACTTGACAAGTTAAGGATGTTTCTGATATTCCCAACCGGTAAACAGGAGAAATAATACATTCCTCTTCTCTGCCAGTATGGGGATGCTTTGAGAGTAAAGGAGCATGGAGAGTACACCACAGGGCAACTAAATATGTAAATTTTATACCCTCCATCCCACCCACCAAAAAATGAAACAAATGTTGAACTCTAGTTGGATGTGCTTTTCACAGTGGTATGGGTTAGTAATCCTAAAATTATTTTCTATGTCTTCAATACTTGAGTAAATGTATCAAGGAAGCTGAGACCAAGTTCTTAGTCTAATTAGAAAAGGAAGTTATATTATAGAAAGAGAGAAGACTAGAATTTTTGCTATAGTTTTAGACTAGAATTAGAATTTTAGATTAGTATTTACAATGAAGTGTGTGTGTGGGTGTGTGTGTTGTTGTTGTTGTTGTTGTTGTTTAATATACAGAGAGGGAAAGAGAAGGGGAGAAACATATTTTCAAGCTCTATCTGCTAAGGACTTTGAATCAGTAAGGGCACATTTACAGCCCCGATCTTGGTTTCTAAACTACATTCACCAGTGAAAGGAACAGGACTCCTTAGAGAAAAGACTGATTCCAGGCTGGGACAGGAAAATAACAAGATGAGTCTGGAACATCTTACTACACCAGAAAGTAATAAGTGCTCAAACAATAATGAAAGATATATTAAAAGGCCACAAGAGCTAGTTTGCAGGGGCTGTTACTAGTTAAATCTGATACAATCTGAGTATTAAAATGATTATAAAAACAGATGTAACCCATTGAATTAAACAAGAATTCATGAGTCTACAATGATAAAAACCAATGAATAGATAAAAGTGGAGGGGAAGAAAAGATAGCTTTTTCTTACAGAAAAATTCTAATCAATATAGAAGGAATGATGGAGTTAGAAGATCATTAACAGATACAAAAATATCAGGTGAAAATTTGATAAAGAACAAGATATTTACATGGTCTCAAAGTATCTCCCTACAAATTACTGAGTAATTACAAAGGGAAAATACTAATTTTACGTAAGTAAAACCTGGTGGACAATACCTTAACCAAATAATGAAAGATCACTAGTATTGAGAAGGATAAATTCTGTAGTATTCCTGGCAAAATGTATAACCTAAGTTTCATCATGATGAAATATTAAACCAAAATATAATATTAAATAACTAGCCCATATTTTTCAAAAATGTCAAGGTTAAGAAAGGGTATAAAATTGTTAAAGGGATAAAGGGAAACTAAAAACATGACAACTAAATGCATCATGGATTAGGATTAGATCTTACATCAAGGAAGAAAAGGCTATAAAGAATAAACAAAGTACTAAGGATATGATGTTAATATGGATTGTGGGTTAGATGACAACACTGGGTCAGTGTTAAATTTCCTAAATCTGTTAACTGTAACATGGCTGAAAGAACATCCTTGTACTGAAGATGCAATATGCAGGGGCTCTTACGTCTTCATCTCCAGCTACTGTCAAATGGTGGGGAAAAAATATATCTGAGAGTTCACTATACTATTTTTGCAACTTGAGTTTACAATTACATAAAAATTCAAAGCTACAAAAAGTTCAGGAGCCCCCATATTTAAAAACAATAAACAGTTACAACATAAATGAAAGAGAAAATCCTGTTTTCAAGAGGAAAAGTAAAAATACTTAGGAATAAACTTTATTTTAAAGGAATTCTTCCAAACCCACATGAAGAAAATTAAAATTCCTGAAAGACACAAAACAGATTTGAACACCACATCCCATATCGCCCGTGTTTTATTAAAAGGTAGATCACCAAGATGTTAGTTATCCCTAAGTTAATGTAGACACTTAATGCAATATCAATAAGAATACCAACAATCACTTATTTCTGGAGCTAGAAAGTTAGTACTAAAATTGATAGGGAAAACGAACCCCTCAGGAAAAACACTGAAAACAAAGAGTTATGAGAAACGACTAACTCAACCAAATACTAAAAAAAGACTACAAAGTTCTTACAATTAAATCAGCATGGTACTAGTATATAAATAGACAAACCAATGGAACCGTACTCAAAGTACAGAAAGAGACCCAAATGCATACAGAAATCTATTATACGATAAAGGCAATATCTCAAATCATTGACACAAAACTGATATTTTGATAAATGAACTGAGACAACTAGATAGAAATTTAGAAGTAGATAAACTTAGATTCATTCCTTCTGTGATATCCAAGAATAAATTCTAAATGGATAAATAAGAAATTTTAACATAAAGAAAGCTGAAACTGGCCAGAAGCAGTGGCTCATGCCTGTAATCCCAGCACTTTGGGAGGCCCAGGTGGGTGGATCACCTGAGGTCAAGAGTTCTAGACCAGCCTGGCCAACATGGTGAAACCCCATCTCTACTAAAAATACAAAAATTAGTTGAGTGTGATGGCAGGCGCCTTAATCCCAGCTACTTGGGAGGCTGAGGCAGAATCACTTAAACCCAAAGGCAGAAGTAGTAGTGAGCCAAGCTTGCACCACTGCACTCCAGCCTGGGCAATAAGGCAGGACTCCATCTCAAAAAAAAAAAAAAAAAAAAAAAAGACCTCAAACTATATCAGAACAAAAGACAAGTGAATTCCTCTATAACATGGGTGTAGGGACCGCTTTCTATGGAAAACTAAAAATTCAAATGGAATACAGCAGTGGTTTTCAAAATTGAGCATAAATCAGAAACACCTGGAGGGCCTTTGTCAAACACATATTTTGGGCCATCATCTCCAGAGTTGCTGATTCAGCAGGTCTGGGACAGGGCCCAAGAACATGCTTTTTGTCGTCGTCGTTGTTGATACAGAGTCTCACTCTGTTGTCAAGGCTGTAGTGCAGTGGCACGATCTCAGCTCACTGTACCCTCCACCTCCCAGATTCAAGCAATTCTCCTGCTTCAGTCTCCCAAGTAGCTGGGATTACAGGTGTTGAGCCATCACATTTGGCTAATTTTTGCATTTTTAGTAGAGACAGAATTTTAACATGTTGGCCAGGCTGGTCTGAAATTCCTGACCTCAGGTGATCTGCAAGCCTTGGCCTCCCAAAGTGCTGGGATTACAGGTGTGAGCCACTGCACCCAGCAAAGAATATGCATTTCTAACAAGTTTCCACATGGTGCTGACACTGCTGGTCAAGGCAGTACCACACGTTAGACTACACAAAAATAAAGAACTTTTACATGGTAAAAGTAAGCATGGTCAGAAGTCAAATAAACTAGAGAAAATGATAAACTGGGAGAAAATCCTTACTACGTATATATCACAAATAAAGGGCTAATATCTCTAACAGGGTAAATATATACATGTATAATAAGTAAAACAAACCAAAATCAGAGAATAATGAACCAAAGAACTCACAAAAAAGATGTTTAACCTCACTTGTAATAGAGATGCAAATTAAAACTACACTATAATACTATTCCTAATCTATCACATAGGCAAAAATTAGAAAGCCTGATTACAATTTGTATGGGAAACATGTCCACTTCTCATACATTGCTGGTGGAAATGAAAAATAATACAAACCCTATGAAAGGGGATCTGGCAATCTCTAACAAAACTATACATGCATTTACCCTTCAAACCAGCAATCACACTTCCGGAATTCCCTTCAGGGAATTTACCCTGAAGGCACCACCCCAAACACCGGAAAACCATATGTGCATAGAATCATTCATTGCAGCATTATTTGTAAAATGTTAGAAACTACCTAAATGCCCAAATACAGGAGGTTGTTTAAAAAAAATTATGGTATGTACAATGGAATGTTATATAGCTGTTTAAAAAATAGGTGGAGGATTTCTATGAACTTTATATATGGAATGATTTTCATAATATAGTACTGTTAAGTGAGGAAAAGAATATACAGGTTGAGCCTTCCCTGATAGAAAATCCAAAATCCCAAATGTTCCAAACTCAAACTTTTTGAACACTGACATGATGCCACAAGTAGAAAATTCTGGCCGGGCGTGGTGGCTCACGCCTGTAATCCCAGCACTTTGGGAGGCCGAGGCGGGTGGATCACGAGGTCAAGAGATCGAGACCATCCTGGTCAACATGGTGAAACCCCATCTCTACTAAAACTACAAAAAATTAGCTGGGCATGGTGGCACGTGCCTGTAGTCCCAGCTACTCAGGAGGCTGAGGCAGGAGAATTGCCTGAACCCAGGAGGCGGAGGTTGCGGTGAGCCGAAATCGTGCCATTGCACTCCAGCCTGGGTAACAAGAGTGAAACCCTGCCCAAAAAAAAACGCCTCCTGAAAGAAAATTCTACACCTGCCACATTTTTTCACTGTTGTTAATGGTACATAATATTTTTTGCTGCTAAATACTTATGTGTGAATAAGTATAAGAAAATGATTGGTTATCAGTAGGCTGAGGACCTCACTTGTAACTGGCCTCTAAAATGGGAGCAGTCTTGTGGGACTGAGCCCTTAACCTGTGGGGTCTATGCTAACTCGTGGTAGTTAGTATCAGAATTGAACTGAATTTTAGAATACCAGTTTTGGCATCAGAAAACTATTGCTGGAACAACAACACACAGACATACATCAACAAGGACAAAGAAAGGTTTGTCCTTACAGTAGAATGCCAAAGGAGAAATGTGGAAAAAGTGGTAGGAATTGAAAAATCAGAATTTCATAACTATCACAGTAGCCCCATCCAATCTTGAGGTCAAACTTGCACTTAGAATGGCAGTTTTATGATGCATGATTTTGAAACATTGCTGGTCATTTAGAAAACTACTGGTTCAACGAGTTATGTGGATCTTCTAAATGCTGGCAAATTTTGCTATACAATTAAAAAAATACAGTCTAAATATTACACCCATCTCATTAGACATGTTTATAAACACTGGAAAGCATCAAAGTCACAGTGGAAGATACAAGTTTTTCAAAATTTTAGTTTTTGCTTAAAAACTTAAATATTATCAGTGGTAACAAATATTAACAACTGTTTTTCCTTGAAATAATAGGCTGATTTCATTTCACTTAGAGAAAATATTTGCCAAATACCCAAGTCTGAATATAGAAGTTGTTCTTTAAAGTAAAAATGGTGTTCCATAAAAAAAAAGACTAGTTCAACTCACAGCTCAATCACATGAGCACTTTACCTTTTATTAATCATCATACCTCATCCGGCAACAAAAGAACTTTAGGGGTACTTTTTGTTTCATCACACAGAATACTAAAAAGACATGTACCCACGGGTCAAGTGTAAATAAAATTAACAAATTTTTACTGTTTCAACATCTTCAGTGAGACTGGCTTTTTTTTCTCTACTGTGAGCACATGGTGGTGATGAATACAATAACTACTAATGCAGTTTGGTGCCACTGTCTTAATTCATACTAACACATAAGCAGTATTCCCACACTGCTTTCACACAGTGCAAATCTAACAGTGGAGAGAAAAATCTGTGTTATTATGAAAATTGTTTCTTTGCAGGCACTTGAAAGGGGATTGGGGACTACCACAAGGACCACAAACCACACTTTCAGAAATGCTGCATTATAGCATCTTTTATATTACAAATGTATTGCTCTATGTGAATTTGAGGTTATGCTGTAAGTCATTAAACTTCAAAAATGTTTCCTATTACAAAAGAAAACCAGATGAACAGTTTATGTAATTTTTATAAATTTCACTGTTTTTCTAATTTAAACATTGTAAAGCTTATTTGTTAAATAGAAATTAAGTAATAAAGACCAAACTAATAATTTTCAACACTTAAGCATTTTTCTTACATTCTAAATATTTTAAATATTATTTATCTAAAAGCACTTTTCACTGAGAGTCTTAACATCTATTTGTCTTTAGTCATTCAATTTTTTTTAAAGGCTCTTGTCACATAAACTATAAAATGTGTCTCTTCATAAAACTGTATTATTATTCAGTTTCATATGATATACATTTTTTAAACTACATTGCTCAATACCTTCTCCCTGGAGAGGTTTTCCAAATGTGAAGTCAGACCACTTATTTCTTTGTCTTTTTCTGCCAACTGCAGCTGAATAAAGAAAGAAATTATCATTATTTTTATCTTCTCCCTCCTTGCAACTTTGAGATCTGGTTTATACTGTTTTATGAAATTAATTCCTATTGCTAAATCCATTTATTTTCCTCAACTAATTCTTTAACTTCTCTGAATTGTCATTTATTGACCAACTTGCCTTATTCTTAAAACTATTCCTTGATTTATGTGAAATGCATGAATATTTTCATCATCCCATGCCCTTTCTTGTGTGCTTTTTCTTCCCAATTCAAATATGAGTACTCTCCAAAGTTTCTTCTTTGGCTTCTTCTCTCAATATCCTCTCTGAAAACTCACTTTCTTCCATAACTTCAAATACCATCCCCCTGGGAATAAATCACAAATATTAACTCATGTACCACTTTCTCTCTCCTAAGTTCCAAATCTGCCTTTTAAATTGATGGTTAATGTCCCAAGTCTACTTCCCTACTTCTGTTAACAGATCTCAATCTCAGAGCACATTGTGACTAAAGCTTAGAATCCATATTGGAATACTTTTCCCTTTTCCTCTTTCTCCAACCTCCAACACTTTCCGTCTCTAAATCATTCATTCATTCATTCATTCATTCATTCAGCAATCACCCACTGATCACCTATTATAGCTTAAGCATTAATCGATACGAATACAAATAAAACCATTCTTCAGTGGTTCTTCCCCCAAGATGTCTTTTACAGCTTTCTCTTGTAGATGCATATCCTGTTCAATGGCAGATGATCAGGGAAGGTACCCAAAAGGAGGTGGCCTTTATCAATTCATTCTAAGAATATTTCTACCTGATTTCCTCACCTTCAGACCCTTCCCAGCTATAAATCCTCTTCAGTGCTGCCAAATTATTTTCAAAAAGACTCACTGTGATTGAGTCTCTTTTCTCCTAGAAAATTCTTAATAGGAACTAGCAGCCAAATTCCTTTTAGGCCTTCCAAAACCTGGCTTCAAGCTATCATTCAAGCCCAGGCTACTCCATCACAAGACTGCTCACAGTTTGCAGACAATGCACTCCACCTCTGACCTCCAAACATGACTTAATGCTCTTCCATCTACAGTACTTAGAAAGCTGCTGCTTCCTTTCCCTAGGTCTGCTTCTCCTCCCCTCCCAGTTTGTTCTTTCAAAGGTCTAGTTACTCCATAATGTCTTCCTCTTAAATATTTGATTGGAAACAACTCTAAGGCAGTTAAACTTATCATTCATGTAGAGCCTTATCACATTTTGCCTTGTCTGGTCAGTGTTAGTCTGTGTCAAAACAGTACCAAATAGGGCAAAAGAAACTAAATAAAAAGCCAAACACATTTACCAGCTACATAATTTCAGATATGTTGTTTAATCTCAATGCTTACTTTTATCATTAATGAAATAAAATTATCTGTTTAGCTTCCCATGGTTTATAGATGATTACCTAGGGTGGTGTTAAAATGTTGTGCACACTACCATTGCAATTCTAGCAATCTACTAGATTATAAACTCCTTAAGCATAGCCCTGTGCCTTATATGATCACCCACAGGATAGCTAACACAGTACTTTATGTATAATAGGCTTCAACAAACATTTACTAAATCATTTTCCTATTCAACATGCAAAAAATTCTTTTCATATGAATTCATGATTCACACTTAATAATCAAGGAAGCTGCCAGTTACTGAAAAGAATATCCACAAGGATCCCAGAAACAATAACAAGCTAATGTATCTTAGCCTGTAATGTGCTACATCTCCAGCCCCTAAAAGAGAAAACTAAAGTAATTCTAATTTTAAAATTAGATCATAGATACAATTAGTTATGATATGGCAAATGTAAACCATTTAGAATTCCTGGTCCTTAGTTCAAAAAAAATGTAAATTATATCTATATACATATCTTATATTAAATTATACTAGGAAGAAACATATATTTGTACTTATTAAGTAGCTAGACAGCCTGTTAATTTTTTTCTCTAATATTCTTTTTTTTTTTTTTTTTTTTTTTTTGAGATGGAGTCTCACACTGTTGCCCAGGCTAGAGTGCAACGGCATGATCTAGCCTCACTGCAACCTCCACCTCTCAACTTCAAGCGATTCTCCTGCCTCATCCTCCCAAGTGGCTGGAATTACCAGTGCCTGCCCCATGCCCAGCAAATTTCTTGTATTTTTAGTAGAGATGGGGTTTCACTATGTTGACCAGGCTGGTCTTGAACTCCTGACCTCATGATCCGCCTGCCTCGGCCTCCCAAAATGCGGGGATTACAGGAGTGAGCTACCACACCCAGCCTTCTCTATCATTCTTATAGATATCATTTATCATTTGGGCTTGTCTGTTGCCTAAGATTATTTTAGCAAAAATAATTGTCATTAGTTAAGATAACATCACTTGCTTTTACAGTATTTCATTTATGATCACAGTCACATACTTTGGTGATAAATGTTAAAATTCTAGCCCAATTTTTAAAATTACTGATGGCATACTGTTGTACTCCAAAAAAAAGTCAAGACCCTAAAATAAACCTTTTTATTTATTTATTTTTATTTTTTAGAGACTGGTGATGGGGAGGTATCTCCCTATGTTGCCCAGGCTGATCTCAAACTCCTGGACTCAATCCTCCCAGCTTGGCCTCCCAAAGAGCTGGGATTATAGACGTGAGTCACCACACTCAGCCATCCTAAAATAATTTTACATACACATTTATGTTTGTTTCAAAATGAAAAGGAAGATAATGATCACTTTTCATCTTTAAAAATAAACACAATTAAAAGATGTAATTTTAATAGCCATCTGAATTCACAGAATTAAGGCCACCATAGCAACACAAATGGTACCCATTTTCTCAATTCATAGTTAATGAACAATATTTATGTAGCTAAACATATAGCACACTTTTATTTGTGGAAAAAACTCTCAATTATCCATATTTAAAATGTATATTAGATTGAATAAAATTATACATAACAGATTTTCAAAAGTTTATGCCTTAAGCTTACGTACAATGAGTACCAAACTTACTTTATAATTGTCCTGTACTTCAGCTAGTTCAAGTTTTACATTTTCAGCAATTTTTACTTGTTCTTTCCATTTCAGCTCCATTTTTGCAAGTTCATCAGCATATTTATTGCATTTTGTTTTCTCATCCTAAATGAAATTAGTATAATTACCAAAAGATTTTAAACCCATGTAGAGTGAAAATCTACACCAATGTACTTAAATATCGGCTGAATGTCTGTAATAACACTGTTCTAACAGCATAAAAACTGGAATAATCAAATGTCTGTCAATAGACAATTGGATAAATCATTTTCTATCCACACAATGAAATAGTATATATCTATAATCTTAAATAAGGCAGATGTACAAGTTGACAAGGAAAAATGTTAAGATGCATTAATTGAAAATAGCAAGTGACTAAAACAGAAAATATCCATTTTTGTTTATAAGTTGTTTTACACAGTTATAATACGATATACCTATGTGTGTTGTACACAAAATATAAATCACAATATTAATAGTTCTTATCTCTGGGGATGAGAATCATGGAGGTAATTTTCGATATCTCTATTCTTCATTTCTGGAACACTATAACATTTCACAATAAGTATATATTACTTTTGCAAAGGGAGGAAATAAAATCATATTTATACTGCTGTTGTTTCCATGCATTGATAAACTTCAGGATTTGCTGACCAAGATAATTTTTAGGTTAACTTCTTATTCATTGCTCTTCTCTACTACGCAGATTATCATAAAGGAGAAATTACAAATTGTGACAAAAAGATAATTAGGCCAATTCCATTTGGAACATTTTGTTCAATGTGAACACTTAAAGATATACTTTGAGCAATTCAATGGAAAGTCTTTTAAACAAATAATGCTAGGTCACCTGAATATCCATACCATACATTCCATATCTCATACCATACACAAAAAGTAACTCAAAATGATTCACAGACCTAAGCAAAAAAGCTAATTATAAAACTTCTAGAAGATAACCTAAGAGAAAATCTTTATATCCCTGGATTCGGCAAACGTTCCTTAGAAGGTAAAAAGCACAAAACATAAAAAACTGATAAACTGTACTATATCAAAATTAGAATTTTGCTTTTCTAAAAACATCATTAAAGAAATGAAAAGGCAAGCTACAGACTTGTAAAAAATATTAACCTTACATATATCAAACAAAAGACATATCCAGAATAAAAAACAAACTCAAGGTGAACAATCCAATGTTTAAACTACCAAAAAGATGTGACCACTCACACAAAAGATAAAGAGCAAATAAGCATAAGAAAAGATGCTCAACATCAAGTCATTATGGATATGCACATTAAAATCACAATGAGCTATCAGTACACACTCATTAGGGCTGGCTATGTAAAATGGTACAAACACCTTACAAAACAGTAACTTCTTTTCTGGTTTTCTTTTTTTTTTTTTGAGACAGAGTCTCATTCTGTCACCCAGGCTGGAGTGCAGTGGCATGATCTTGGTTCACTGCATCCTCCACCTCCTGGGTTCAAATGATTCTCCTGCCTCAGCCTCCAGTGTAGATGGGATTACAGGCATGCACCACCACACCGGGCTAATTTTTGTATTTTTAGTAGAGAAGGGGTTTCTTCAGGCTGATCACAAACTCCTGAACTCAAGTGACCCTCCCACCTCGGCCTTCCAAAGTGCTGGGATTACAGGTGTGAGCCACTGCACCCAGCCAGTAATTTCTTATAAATATTCACCTACCATATCACCCATACAATTCACTCCCAGATATTTACCCAAGAGAAACAAAAAAACTGTATATCCATAAAAAAACTTGTAAACACATGTTCATAAGCAGATTTGTACCAGCCAAAAAACAACCCCAAATGCCCATTGACTGGTGAATGAACAAATGATACAATAAAAGGAATAAATATAAGCAATAATATGAATATCTCAAAATAATCATGCTAAAAGAGGGCAGAAAAAAATACATATTACATGACTCCATTTTATAAAGTTGTATAAAAGGTAGGCTAGCTGATAGTGGCAGAAAGCAGGCCAAGGATTTCCTGGAGATAAGGATAGCGAACGAGATGTGATGCAAACAGGGACAAAAAAAATGTGGGTCAGCTGTGGTGGCTCACATCTGTAATTCCAGCACTTTGGGAGGTTAAAGCGGGCAGATTAGGAGGTCAGGAGTTAGAGACCTGCCTGGCTAACATGATGAAACCCTGTCTCTACTTAAAAAATACAAAAATTAGCTGGGAGTGGTGGGACTCGCCTGTAGTCCCAGCTACTCAGGAGGCTGAGGCAGGAGAATCTCTGGAACTCAGGAAGGAAAGCCGAGGTCACACCGCTGTACTCCAGCCTGGGAGACAGAGCAAGACTCTGTCTCAAAAAAAAAAAAAAAAAAAAAAATTGGGAGGGTGATGGCACTGTGGTAATAGTTTCACAACTGTGTATGTCAAAACTGATCCAACTGTATACTTCAAGTATGTCCAATTCAATGGATTTCAATTATACCTCAACACAGCTGTTAAAAAAAAAAAAAAAAAGCACTTTGAGGAAGGTTTTTGCTTGAACATTATTCTACCTTCCTTTCAATACTATTTATAAAAATTTTTAAATATTCATCCAGAATTGTTTCATCTTTAATGAAAATGTAGTTCAGTCTTACAACTACCCTGAACTCAAGAGTAAAACTGTTCTAATCAATCCTTCTACAGGTTTCTCTCAAGAAAAAAAAAAAAGTTCACTTTCAACTTTGATTAAAAAGTTTTGCTATTTATAAGCAACATAAAATATTTTAAATAATTACTATAATTAATTATAGTAACATTAAGCTAATATGTAAATTTTATTCTATAGCTCTAAAAAATGCCCCTCCCCAATGCACATAAAAACACACAAAATAAAAGCCCATTAATAAAACAAAAATGACGTACACAAACAAAAAACATTTTTTCCTCTCTAGTCCAAATTGATATAAATGAGAAGCATCTTCCCTTTTCCTTTAAATATTCCAGTAGTGAACACTACACCAAGAAGGCTGCAAACTAGAACAGTCAGAATGATGCTGTTTAAAATAATCAAAATAAACAACACCATAAGAGACAGTAACTCATTTGGTTAACATTCCCTTTTCAACAATGCAATTCTAGTCACTTTAAGATGTAAAAATCTTTGCTATTATAATAGTAATTTATTTTATGTATCACAAATTTTGGAGATGGAGTCTCACTCTGTTGCCTAGGCTGGAGTGCAGTGTGCAATCTCAGCTCACTGCAACCCCCACCTCCCAGGTTCAAGTGATTCTCCTGCCTCAGGAAACTGTAGCTGAAACTACAGGCAAGCTTCACCAAGCCCGGCTAATTTTTGTATTTTTAGCACAGACAGGGTTTCACCACGTGGCCAGACTGGTCTCGAACTCCTGACGTCAAGCAATCCACCCATGATGACCTCCCAAAATGCTGGGATTACAGACGTAAGCCACTGTACCTGGGCTATAAGAGTAAATTTTAAAAGAGTACTTCTCTTTATGAAGTTCAAATATTTTTCACTAATCTTTATGACAGATAATAATGTCTAACCTCAGTTAACTATTTGCCCATTCCCCAAATAAAAACATTTTATTAGGTGAAAAGAAAATAATGACTTTAAGTCTCATGATTTACACACATGCCTATGTGAACAGGTACACAAAACACCCACCTCATCATCCCAAAAGCCAAAGTGAAACTAAATAACAGTATATGGGGATGGAAAGGAACTCAAAGATACCAATCAATCAAAACAGTAAAGGTAAGCTAAGTCATTTACATTTGATAAATCTCTTTCATTTACAAGGGAGTTAACTTACCTGTAAGAGTTGTTTACATTTATTATACTTTTCTGTTTTGTCAGCAATTTCTTTGGCCATTTCACAGACTTGCCCCTTTGTTATTATGTCAAAATCTGTCTCTGGTATAAGAAGACAGAAAACAAGACTGTTACAAAGTATTTTGCCCCTGTTATCTGCCTGTTCAGAATAACTTAAATGTCAGTATATTGCGAAATATAATAAATGGAATACTGAAGGACAGAAATATCTATTCATATCCTATATATACAAAGAAGGATATATAAACTCTAGCTGAGAATTTTTACATGTGTGTTTGGACAGAACCAAGTTCATATTCAATAATAAAAGATTATTCTTTGATTTTTTTTTAATTTGCTAAAAAGAGTTTAAAAATAGCAAAAAAAAAAAAAAAAATTGTTCTCCTTATATAAATGAATAGACAGGATAAGTAGGAAAACCATACTCTGAGAATTCTCTTTCCCCTCTCTAAAAGCCAGGGTCTCACTATGTTGCCCAGGCTGGCCTCAAACTCTTGGGAGCAAGGATCCTCTTGCCACAGACTCCAGAGTATGTAGGAGTATAGGCATATGACACCACACCCAGCCAAGAACATATTTTAAATCATTCTTCTAGTCCTTCATTACCACTAGGTCTTTATTAAGTAAATACCCTATAACACCATTTTAAGTACTGCAGAGGATACATGAAAATAGAAAGCTCGATTCTGTCCTACAGGGGATAAACCTAATTAAGTATTTATTAGTCTAAGATGTTTACATTTAAAAAGACTTAAAACATCAATTACTCTACACACTAAACAAGAAAATATACTTTCTCTAGTATTTAATGTCATATTGTCAAATTTACATAAAGGTGAAAAAAATCAGGACAGATGAAAACCTAGTTAATCCAAATTTTCATGTTACTCATGTTTTTACTGTCTCTCTAATCTGTTCTATAACTTAATAAAGTAATAAAAACTTAATTAAAAACTTAATAAAAAGTTTAATAACACAAACTCATCAGCCAACAGGTACACTAATGAGGTAAGAGGTACCCTATTGATACAAAGCAGCCAAAAATTAATAAACATAAAAACATAAGAATAATAGGGGATTTTTTTTCCCCTGCAGAATTTAAAAATTAAAATGCCACATATAAAATGCTTCACAATTCCATAGATTTAATGGAACATAAAGTAAACATTCAATTCGTGGCTTTTGTCTTATGTAGCCCAAATGAGTATTCACAAGCACCAGCTCATTTTTAACATGTGTGAATAATCTCAAGAAGTTAACTACTAGTTTACATTCATATTTTATATATTAAAGTTTTGTACATTCACCACATGCATGACTCTATTTTACATTTATGCCCTTATTTTCCCTTTGCCTCAATTTCCTCACTCATCACATGAAGATTTTTATGAACATCCTGAAATTCTTACACATGAAAGAAAGCAGTATATCCTACACAAAAAGTCTAAATGATTTTTACCTGCAGAAGGTGATGATGGCTTTACATCTACAGTAGAGGCAGAAGTGGCTGGGTCTGTGTTTACTGAAGCATCATTTACTTTCTGCTGACTCACAATTTTCTTTGTGAAGACATTATTATTATTAGCCTATTCAAAACATTAATAAGTTGTTAAATGAGTCAATGAATTAGTTATATTTCCTTCTTGCAGCAACGATGTAAATATTATTTTTACATATTACTTTAGAAAATCCTAAGAAGTCTACAAGGCTGCTCTTGTTTTAAAAGCCAACAAAGACTAACATCATACACATCATTTTCCTGAAATGTTGAAAAAGAAATATATTTTGCTTTTTCTTATAAACTCATCAAAACAAGTCATTCAAAGAAATCCACTACAAAGTTATAATGTGCTCAAAAGGCCCCAAGCCAAATTTATACATGTGAGTGGGTCTTACTTAAAGTATTGTATTTTTTCACAAAAGCCTTCCTACTTTACTACATGTATTTCTTGTTTCTTTGCCACCTCTGATTTTAAAAAGTAGGACCAGGAAAGTATTATATGCATCATATAGTAAAAGAGAGCTATAGTATCACTTTCAACTTCAAGTTTTAAATATGTTTCTTCTACATTTCCAGGATTTCCTCAGATAGCAAGCCTGTATTTAAGTACAATTTAAGGACCCACATTGAAACATATATATCTCAAAACAAAAGAATTTTTTTTGCTGTATTACAAATCTACCTACCTATTCTCAAATGGAATACAAAAGAATTAGCTAATACTCTTTAATTCTTCCTAATCTAATAGATATGACTAGGAAGAACTTGCCAATGACAACTGAGAAACCATCTAAGACCCTAGGGATGATTAATGTTGAACTCCAGTGAGAATAAATGTCATTGTCATAAGAGTCAATAATATGTGTTGAATTTTAAGTGACAAAGATATTCACCAAGAACTTAAGAGGGAAATGATGTAGAAAAAAGGACTCTCTCTCTCCTGCCCCCGTTTCCTTTGTTAGCTGTCCGTAAATTAAAACTCCACATTTTTTTAAAAGAAGAATTATTACAATATTAAGCCAATGACTTGAAATCAAGCAGAGATAAATCATATTTAAAAGATTGACATTTAGATTATAAATTTGATTTTCAAACAAAAAGACTAACAAAATATTTTACTATGTGTAAATTTAATTATACTTACTGATTGATCTGAAAGTTTGTTTATTTGTTTTTGGAGTCTTTGGCATTCCTTAAATTTTTCTTTATAATGGTCTGCAGCCATCTGAAGACGGAGTTTCAGATCTTCAACTTCTCTTCTTAGTTCGTGTTCCAGTGTATCAGTCTTGTCCTAAGAAAGAAACAAACATTCTAAGAAAAAAAATCAAAATCTGATACCTCCTCCTAATGTTAATAGTAACCCCAACTTCATTCTTACTTTTTTCCTTCTTTTTAAGACAGGGTCTTGCTCTATCACCCAGGCTGAAACACAGTGGCCCAATTATGGCTCACTGCAGCCTTGACCTCCCAGCTCAAGCAATCCTCTTGACTCAGCCTCCTGAGTAGCTGGGACTACAGGAACACATCACTACACCTGGCAAATTTTTAAAATTTTTTGTAGAGATGGGGTCTCACTACGTTGCCCGGGCTGGTCTTGAACTCCTAAGCTCAAGCGATCTTCCCACCTCAGCCTCCCAAAGTGCTGAGATTACAGGTGTGAGCCACTGCCCTGGCCACTTTTTTCTTTATTTTGGGATTTTGGCTACAGAGCAACATAGGGTCTTCTTAAGTCCAGTTTTACATTTTTAAGACTAAGCTTCACTTAAAAAACTAGGAAAAAATGGTTAACTCTCTTAACCATAATACTGTTTTATATAGCTAGTAAGAAATTCCAAACAAAGCAATAATATCTGACATCAGTATATTTAATTAATAGGGCAGCTTTCACCAACCATTAAGAATTTTGCTCAAAGAAGTTTTTCTTACAGCATACATTAACAGCAAGCCAAGAAGTTACAATAACTAAACAAAAGGAATGAAAATTTAAAATTCTCTGATCAGAAATCTGACTTATTTTAACACAATTTACTCTTTTGTG